AAACACACAAAGACACAAACACGCCAACACGCAAACATACAAGCACGGTTGCACGGAAACAAGTATACACCAAATATCAACCCACACAAATACAAGTCAAATACATAACAAAAAAGCACTAACAAAAAACGCACCTACTCGCCCATGAACACCTATACACTAAAACAAACGTACAAAAAACTTAAACCCACACTAAAACAAATAAACAGACATTCATTGACACATTCGTACGCACGCACGCGCGTGCATATACACACACGCACACACACACACACACACACACACACACACACACACACACACACACACAAATACACTTACACACATCGCTACCTCAGAATTACAAAGTTCTATCTGACATTTTTGGCTGTCTTGAATTTCTAAGAGATCAGAAATCAAAGGCTCTATTAAAATCGTCAGATTATTCTGTGTCATCATCAAGATATTCAAAGAATTGCATTCGAAAATTCTTGACACATTGTGAAAACCAAAATTTTTTCCGTCACATTTCTCAAAACTAGGTACTGAGTAGATAGACCTTTATAATTCTGAGGTACCGACGTATTTGTTTTAAGCCGAGAGCAAAAGCAATGAAAGAGAATTGTTGTAAAAAAAGGGGGTGGGTGGGAGAAATAGGGTGAGAGGTGAGAGAGGGAGGTGGGAAAGAACAATGACAAATAGATAACAAATAGAGATCTTACGCACCAAAGGGGCTTTGCCTAAAAACAGTTCTGGGACAAATGGAAATTGGGACGGTAGAAGAATGGAACGAAAGAAGAATGGGAAGCGCCTTCTGAGTGATTTGTATCATGTCGCGTTTCTTCTGTCTCGATTTGCCCTTACTTGTCTGCTAATGTCCTTATTCTAACAGCTACATTAATTATTACACGTGAGTGACACACATTAGTGAACGTACACCTTTAAAACACGAAGTCGGTATAATCACATGCACGTTCTTCTCTTCTTCTTCTACTACTACTACTAGCAACATATCCCTCTCTTCATCCCTGTTCTAGTTTTATCGGTCGTCACGTTCACAAATAGTGTATTTACCTCCTGTATCAAGGTCAGCTTGTTATCCTTTGCCCTCTGATACACGTACAGGTCATTGTCCATAGCCACGTAAACAAAGCTGTAGAACAAAGAGACTTCAATAACCCTTTTAATTGAACCCCCTGTACCAAAATATCGCTACTAAAGCAAATGCTCTGGAATACCGAAATAGAACACAAATACGAAACAGCAGCATATACCAATATACACAAGCATAGTAATACATGTATTTCAACAAGAACAAAAAATGAGACGAATAGATAAGATCAACACTAAAATGAGTTGTAGAAAGGGATACCTCTAAAGAAAATCAGTTAAATTACTCAGGAGCTCGGGTGTAGCCCATTTAAGGCCCAGGAAACTAGGGTTCAAAGGGTTAATCTCACTCTTGAGAAAATAAGATGCCTGTTGTGCTGAGTCCATAGATGTGTAGTTTAATAACCTAGACTGTATACTCTGACGTGATTTCGGTTCACTGTGGAGCGCTCAATTTGACACTTCGCTACCCTAGAATCACAAAGTTCTATCTACTTTGTACCTGGGAAATTTGACGCTAAAAATTATAAGTTTCACATCATGTCAAGCTTTTCGGAATGCAATTCTTCGAATATTTAGATACAGACCCAAAAATAACATTACGATTTTGATATAACATGTTTGGTTTTCTGACATCATGGTTTTAGCAACTCAGAACGGCCAAAAAAGTCAGATAAAACTAAAAAAATCTAAGGTAGCGACTAATTGTAACCAAATTAATGAAGCACTTTTGGGGTCAGGAATGGGAGATTGCGCGTGCATTCAATTATGGTGAGACCGGTGCTTATCCCTTCATTTGCCTTCATTTGGATGCCCCTGGTTCGCACCACGCAATGAAGTTTTAATAATAATAATAATAATAATAATAATAATAATAATAATAATAATAATAATAATAATAATAATAATAATAATAATAATGATAATAACAATAGTAATAATAATATAATTTATATAGCGCATTTCCCCACTCGACAGCAAGCTCTAGCGCTTTACACTCTACGAGTAGTTCATTACTGATAGTGCCCCAGCAGCAGACCATAGAACACTCAGAAATATTCTCAGCTTCCCGGAAAGCATAAAGTGCAAGCAGCTGATTAAGCGCTCAAACACTAACAAACTGACAAGATCGTTCACTGTCTATTATAGCTGGGTACTCATTCCCACCTGGGTGAAGTAAGGAAAATTCATGTAAAGTTCCTTTCCGAAGCATACAAAGTCGGGACCCTGACGAGATTCGAACCCACGACCTTACGGTTGCGAGTCTTAGCCCCTAACCACTTAGCCACTAACGCCATGTTTTTATAGAGAGAAAAGAGCAGAAGCTGTGGCAGTGCACGGTCTGGAATAATTCAAGTCTATGGCTCTATGGCAGAGTTTAGTCCTTTAAATTCGCCATTCAACAACTACAACAACACAACAACAACAACAATAACAGCAGCAGCAAAAAAATTAAAACACATATTATTAAGGGAAGAGTGGCATTCCAGTTTCAAAATCACGGACTAGAAATTAATTATTTAATGAAATCATTTGATATGACTCTGTAGTCTAATTCGTAATGCACGTGGTTAAATTACTTTAGCTCTGTGCTCAAGGAATATTTTAAAACTTCAGGGTATCCTGACCCTTCTTATGCCACTAGTAAAGGCGCTATTATTTTTACTTTGTTGATTTCTGAAGGTTTAAAAAAATCACAAACGTTCCCTTAGCTCAGTATTCCCCTAACATTTTTATTTTTTAGGATATCATAACCCTTCGTATGACATTAGTTTAGTGCACGTGTAATTTGGTTATCTATGAAGGTAAAAAAATAAATTATTCGCAAACACGATTAAGTACAGTTGTCTACAATTTGTTCAAGGGTTAAAAAAATCGGTATACTGTTTTTAGTGGGTTTTTTAAAGACATTTGGTTTTTCGACATGACAGTACCGATATTTCCTGCCTAAGTGTCCACTCTGGAGCGTTTAAAACATTATATACATATTTAATTTCTTTTATTTATATATAAAACAAAGTCTCTTAAAAGCCTATTACACGCCCTGCTTATACTAACAATTCTACTCATTCTTTGTAATAAGAAAATGCTAGATGATACAATATTGGTAGAAATACTTCGGTGTTTTTGTGATTTTTAAAACCTAGCAAGAAAACGAGTCCCTCGAGAATCATAATTTTGTTAAGATTTGGTACACTAGTTCTGATTTTGATATTACTTTTACGACGGGGGGGGGGGGCATTCTTGCATAGGTTTATAAACGATAATATGTGTGTGTGCGTAGAGAAAGGTATCAGTAGTTGGCAAAGCTTTGTTTGAGCAATGGAGTGAAAAGGCCAAAAAGAAGTAGTACCTAGTCAAAAATGTAGTTCAATCAGAAAACAAGCGTTAAAACATTTCTTAATAATAATATGTTGAAAGTATTTTGCAACATTATAAGTCTAAATGTTTTTTATTAAATATTTTTGCAATAATTTGCTGTATTCACCAAAAGTTAAAATGTGCTAGAAATTGAGTCAACATACTAGGATTAAAGCCGTTTTTCTCCAAACGTAGTATTTCGTATATCTATAACATTACTCAAGATACCTTTAAACATTAAAAGTCGGCGTGTTAAGCATTGAATGTGTACAAGAATGTGGCTTTTTTAATATTCAAAATTTCAGACAAGTGGAACCTTTCTCCAGGCACACACACATTACATTTTATCGCTAGTGGCAGGCGCAAAAAAAATTTGGTACAGCCTGACATTAATATTTTCTTTCCGCATCTGACCCCGCCGGACGGCCTTCTACGCCGGTAGACAGCCTACAGACGATAGAAATTCATTTAAATTAAAACATACTGAAAACTACGCCCTATCTTAAAAATAATGTCAAATTCGGAACCAGCGTGTTAAAATTGTGAAACATTATTTACGTGCGGGTAGTTCCTTTTTTTTAACCAAGAAATTTTAAAGACCACAAAAAGATTTTTTTTTAAAAATTGTTTACCACAAGATTGTATCATGTAGTAAATTCATGTTCTTTTCACAAAAGAGGACGGACAACTGTCAGTTTTAACTGAACATATAATAGATCTTTTGAAGTTAACAACTACTCCTGATGTCAAGGTCGCAGCCAGATCTTGATAGACTTCTACGATTATCTCTACACGTAGCTGCACGAACATTCCAGACCCCTGAAGTTTCAGTTTTGAGAAATGGACCCCCCAACAATAAAAGCCATAAAAACGTCTTCACATCAATTTCTTTCGATTGTATCGGCATAATAATGACTTTTTAGAACAGGAGAAAAGTAAAACAGGGGGATGGAAACAACAGAAGGGAAAAAAGAGGGACCCACCAGTGGCAAGCTGTACAATCTGTTCTTCATCGCATTATGAGCAATCAATAAATGACATTAATTTTTGTCCCAAAGAGACGAGTTAAAGGTTACTTCTGGCTGCTACTTCGTCACTCAATTTTAATATTCAACTCCTTATTCATTTCAGAACTGTTTTTTCCAGGAAGTTGCAAAATTGATGACGACTTGGTTTTTCTTTATAATCGAAAAGAACAGAAACATAGTAAAGATAATACATCATCTAAACTTCATTTCATTCAGCAATTTGCCATAACCATGTAATTCCAAACTTACTCAATGTGATAGGACAGTGTCTCGCGGATTGGGCTAGCTCTAGATGGTTTGTCGATGGGATACATTTCAGATTTGCGCTCACTTTTTATTACAACATTAGGTTTCCTGTTGTACGTTAGGAGGATTTGCGAGAGATGTGTGTCGCGACGCGGGGGGATAAAGTGCTCGTCAATTTTGGGAAAATGGAGTTTTGGGCCTAATCTTTCAGTTGGTTCACCTTTCTAGATTTGGTTGAAACTGTACGCATCTATATCCAATAGAAGTTGATATGTTTATGATTGAAGGAAGTGGGGTTCACCTGGTGTCAGGGGTAAAAATAGCAAGAAAGGTTTGGTGAATTCCAAAGCTTGAGGGTCCTTGGAAACAGCACATTTGCAATTCATTGTGTCTCTGGCCAACTTTTTCAGTAAAATCTACAGAGAAATGAGTTTTTAAAATGGATATAAAAGGTGTTGAGACAAGAGAAAAAATAACAAAACAACAAAATAACCAACAACAACAAAAAAAAGAATTGCCCAGCGGACGGGAAAATACCAGTTTCTTCGATTTCAGTATTTTTACGAGCGCCTGATTTGACCACGTAGTGACACATATATTCGTCTCCAAGCCCCAAGGCCAACAGTACAAACTGTGCTTTGATCTCGCAGAGGGAGTGCGTGAACGCAAATAGCTAAATAAATGAGGATTGAAGAGAACATTTAAACAGTTTTGTGACAAAACGGGACATGCCAATTTTTCGAGTTTTGAGAAAAATGAGGATTTCTGTTCTTCACGAGCTTCAAACTTCGGAAACAGCGTTCTTTGCGTTTTATCGCGTAACTTTATTTATACCCTGGAGAAAAAGAGTGGTTTAACTCCTTTTTGGGGGGTCAAAAGTAACCCATCACATCACATTATGATAAAACAACGCTGGTTCTTTTTCCTGTCAACTAAGGGGCTAACAAAAGTATGAACAAAACTCAGTTTCGTCTTTCATCATACAGAATAGTGAGGGATCCTGTGCATTTTAAGAATATAATAATAATATTCTCACGACAACCAATTTTTTTCGTAAGAATATAGAGTGGACGGGGTTTCCAGGAAATGCCCACGTTTGGGCGTGTAGTGATATTTGTAATTTAATCTTTTAAACATACTTTTGCTGTGGAAGTGTCGGTTATAATTTTGGAGACGTATTTGGAGTCATCACAACTTTTGCCCCTCTTCCATGTTTCATTGAACCTACCTTTCGTCTTTTGAAATCGTAATTCCGTTCGGGAGTCTTATATTTGAGACAACTTCCGAAAATCCCGAGCCGTCGTTAAAGACGATGCTACCTTTCTTGATGAAAGACAGACCTTCAAGGATTGACCACGGGAGACCGTTGCTGTACATACTGTTGGTGACGTAGAACGCATCTTTGCTAAGGGCGGCCACGTCATTACACAAACCCAATTCTTTCCCAGAGAAGGACGCCAGATGTTCAAGCTGTGACGTTTTGGGGAGATACCGAAATTTTTCTATGCGGTCTCGCGACCCAATCACGTGATTCACAACAAAAATCACGTGTCTACCGCTCTCTTTATTCTCCACCACGTCGAGTCCATGTGGGAAGAAGTTTGCCAACTGGAAGCTTGCACTCTCCAGTATCTGTACTTCTTTGGCTTCAACGTTAGGTGCCGTCAAATTCACAAAGAAGATACCGCCATTTTCCCGGTGCTTGAAATAAAATTCCTGCAGGAGTATGAATAAAATAGATCAAGAAATGGCTATAGACGTACACTACTTTTTATTCTTTTATAAGTATGATAATCATCAAGTACACATGCACAGAAAAACGCATTTACATACACATTCACACACACACGCACGCACGCACGCACACACACACACACACACACACACACACACACACACACACACACACACACACACACACGCACACACACACACATACACACACACACGCACACACACATACACACACACACATACACACACATATAATGATATGCACAATATGCACAAACATGAACACAAAGCACACAATATAATAATATACGTCTGTGTCTGTGTGTGTCTTTGTGTTTGTTCATTCATGTTTGTATGTGTGTGTTTGTGAAAGTGTGCATTCATGTGTGTATTCGTTCAATATGTGTAGGTGTATCGTACTATGTCGAGATTACTGCTCTAAAAACATGCCGTTTTCAATATCATTTGTTTCATATTGAAAAGAGAGTAATTTTAAAAATTATTTTTCTGCGTTTTTTCCTGGTTAAAGGTGCGAATGAAACATTTTGAAGAATGCCACTTTATAATTTTTTTCTTGCACACAGATAATATCTGTACAATTCGCTTTTTAAATTTCTAAGATAGCGTTAGTACTTTGTGAGATCTGGTCAAATAATAAAAGGAAAGCACTACAAGTGACACTGGGGATAGGCCCAGAAACTATTCCCAGTAATAGGCCCCGAAACCACTGGCTATAGGCCTAGGCCAGAATTGTTCCCAGTGTCACTGGGAATAGGCCAAGAAACTATTTCCAGTGACACTGAGAACAGACGTACGGGCCCATTAGATCTATTGTTCCCACATTGATCTACATGGGCATGATAATGATGGGTTACTAAATACTAGACTAGATTCTTTTATCTAATGTAGATCTAGATCTAGATCTAGATTATAGACCTAACTAAACTAAAGTAAATTATGGTGTGAGTGGAAGATGTTTTTGTTTTTTTTCAAAGAAAGAAATGATCATTCTATGCTTGCTTGTTATTCAGTCGTAATTTAGATCTGGATGTAAATGTTGATCTAGATCTAGCCTAATACTAATACTGATTTTGGAGACCACGGTACAGGACAGGGAAAACCTTTCCAATTCTTCTTTCTTCTAGATCTAGATCTAGAATCTAGTTCTAGGCTATTATCAAGTCTTGGCCCAAGTAAGAGAAGAGAACAAAAGTACTGAACTGAAGTGAGAAGAGAGTCTACAGTACACGTTTGAATAGAATCTAGGCCTAGAATCTTGATCTTTTGAAAAGCTGCAAATTTCTCTTCAAACTCTTTGAAGGAGGAGAACTTCGTGCCCACTTCCATCTGCATCGCAATTTTGTTTCGAAGTTCAACGTGAAAATTCAAAGGCTATTTTTTTAAATGCAAAAGAGTTCTGTTGTCACTGGGAATAGTTTCTGTACCTATCCCCAGTGTCACTGGGAATAGTCACTTTGATAATAAAATTGTCAGGTCGGGTGTGGAAACAAAGTTATGGAGAAAAAAACAGTTTTGAAAGTTTCAGTAGATAAATTGATAAAGAATAACTTTTAAAATGAAAATCAATCTTTTTGTTTAAAATCGATTTTGTACCTTTATTGTCCTGTAACTCTGTTCGAGCAAATATGTCTCTTCTGCCGGTACCTTTCTTAAGGCACACACACACACACACACACACACACACACACACACACACACACACACACACACACACACACACACACATTTGTTAAGTCAAGAAACACATCATCATAATCATCCAGTGCCAGATCTGCGACAGACATCGGCGATCATGGTTTTCCATTCATTCCTTTGCTCGGATGCTCTCAAAAAGCTACGTTTCCCTGACCTTTCCCTTTCACTCATTTGTTTAGGTTCCCTAAGTATGTTGTTCTGGGCCTACCCCTACCTTGCTTGCCCTCAATTTTGCCAGTGAGAGCTAGATATTCAAGACCCTTGTGTCTATTCAGGTGCCCCAAAAAGTGCATTTGTCGTTTCCTGATTGTTTTTAACATTGAGCGTCCCACGTGAGCTTCATCAAGCACTACCTCATTTGATTTCTTTCCCTTCCATGATACTCTTAGCATTCTCCTAAGAAACCACATTTCTGTTGCTTCTATCTTATTTTCAGTCTTTAGTGATTGTCCAGCATTCACAGCCATTTTGAAGGGTTGGCCAAACATACCATTTCAGGACTTTCATTTTGATGTTCATTGAGATGTTTCTAGAAATACAAAGCTTGCCAAAACACGTTCACATTAGTTTTGTTTGAGCATACTTAACCTACACTGAAGTCCAAATTATGCTAACTTCAGTGTATTATATCGCTCAACTTTAGATCATTCTGTGCCCATGTTCTGGTCATTGGACCACACTTGAAGGCTCAACTGTTTTGTTGCACCTTGCAATATAAAAATAACTTTATTATTAATACAGTAGTTTCGGTTCTATTTTCTTGATCTGAAAATTTAAAGAGTCAGGCAAAAACATCATTGCTTTGAAATATGCAAATTACTGTTTTTGACGTGTGTATGACGGTTCAATAAACTGCCTCAACATTGCCTTTAGTCTGCTGCTGATAGGACATAATTAATATGTGTCCACTACAATCTCAAAGAGTAAACTTCAGCATTGTATGTGTTTCACGGCGATCGCAAATTGCATAAGGTCATATGAGCGTGCGGGACACTTTAATCGTTTAGCATTTTGGTAGGAATTTTGAGTTTTGCCCGTGAGGCGGACGGAGTTTACTCTTATCGAGTTTAGGACAACCAGGTGATCTTTAACAGGCGCAAATTGCATACAGTACCCCCGACTTTTTTGTCCTTATCCGAGAAGGCAAAGTGTTAGATCTCACCTACCATAAAGTCAGGGGTGTGGGTGAAAGACAGTAGTAAGGAGGAACCAAGAAGTAGCAGCAGAAAGGCTTTAGAAAGAGTCAAGAGCCCAGAGGAGGGGGCAAGAGGGAGGTGGGAGGGTGCAAAAAGTGGAGACGTAAGCAGACAACAGAACAGGATTAGTGAGCAAGAAAGGAAGTGAAAGGAGACAATTATATAGAAGAAAAATTTCTGTCACTGTCAGGTTTCGAACCCGGGACCAATTGAATGAGTGAATGAGAGGTGAACACCGTAACCTCTAGACCACGAACAGCTGCCCGTTTTATGTCTCTCGGAAGGTTTAAAAAAATCGAAATCAGCTAAGAACAAAAAATGTCCCAATACAAACCCTTACCTCACGTGTTAGCTGTTGAGCTTACATTATTTTTGTGTTTTATACCCTTTCTACTGCGAGAGGATCAAATCAAGATAGTGATCTCAGAACGATTGAGGCTTGCGCATTGATCTCCTGCCGCCATTTTAAAGATTACTCTTTATTTGAGCCATCTCACTT